AACCTCTGTTTCTCTGCTCTCTGGACTAAGGCTGTGGCTTCTTCTCAGAACGTGATTTAGCGATGCTCTCTAAGCAACTATATTTGTCAGCCCGAGCACCCAAGAACAACTTGTGGAGTTGTTTCTGAGTAGTCCTTTATTCTGCTTACAGGCAGAATGTTGCCAGACGAAAGCAACAACTAGCCCCACAACTATGGATATACTCTATAAGTGTCTAGGGAGGGTTTATCTTCACCTTTTTCCTGCCTACCAGAAATTCCAAGTTACGTTGTCTCATTGTCCTCTGGGAAAAAGTCCCTCCCTCTTGTGACTCCAGATTACATTCCATTACAACAATTTGGAAAATTTGACGAAAAAGTTCAGATAAGTTTTTGGTAAGAACATTCCTTCTTCGGTATCACAACTGCAGCAGTACTGTGAGAGTGAAGAGTGAAAATATGCAGGGAGTCGCTTCCGTTATTGTTTTTTTTATTATTGTTACTGAAGATCTATTTGACAGTAGATAAAGCATCAAAGATGTATAAGATGAATTTCTTCTGATATTTAGAATTTTGATCCATCCGTTGGAGATTTGGGGAAACTGCCCAGAGGGATCCTTGGTGCTCTCTGAGCTTGCTTGTTTTCTTGCACTGATGATATTATCTAGTTTGGTTAATGAAACATCTGCAAGAAAACAAGCAAGCACCAAGGAACTCCTCACGTCAACCCTGAGCTATAAATATTCTCCTTTATTAGTACTCTGCACAGAGCTTTCTAACTGCTTCCCTTGTTTAAATAAGATAGGTCAAAGAAAAAAAATAAGGAAAGAAAAAAAAAATGAAACAAGTCAACAACTTGATGTCTCATGGTTTGTGAGATAGGCCATTATATAAATTTCGAAAATAAATAAAGTTGAATTCTACATAAGGGCTTCACCTTCATGAATATAGGCACAGTGGTTAGAATGCAGTACTGCAGGATAACTCTGCCAACCGTCAGCAGTTCGAGTCTCACCGGCTCAAGGTTGACTCGGCCTTCCATTTTTCTGAGGTCGGTAAAATGAGGACCCAGATTATTGGGGGGGGGCATATTCTGGCTTTGTAAACCGCTTAGAGAGGGCTGTAAAGCACTGTGAAGTGGTATATAAGTCTATTGCTATCTTTGTTTTCTTAAACAGCTTTTCAGTTAATGACCATGTTTCATTTTAATTGTTCAGATATAATCTACATCTGTCTGACTTAGTGATAAACCAAGTCAGTCAGAAAGGGCCATAGGCCTGTCCAGCACTGTGTGTCACATAGTGACTGACCAGGTATTTCCGAGAAACATAGACGAGAAGCTGGTTTGTTCCCATCCACTGTTGCTCCACAAATCATTATTTTTTTTGTATGAAAAACATGTTATCTTGTAGACCAGTACATATTGATTAGACCGCCGATCCATAATTTATTTTGTTCCTTTTTGAAAAAAAAAGACATATAAATGGGGTCATCATCCCCACGTTTGGCGAGAAACAATCCTGCGGTTTAAACTGTGCGCTGGTATTTTAATCGTGACATTTGGAAATAACTTTTTTTCTTTTCCACCTTGGCATTTGCAAAGGGCTCCAGCGTTGAACCCTGGGCTAATTTGCAGCACAAAAACATCCTTTATTTGCATGCCTTAGCAAATCCAGACTTGGGTGTTTATTTCTGCTATTTCTGCCCTTTTATTTGTGAGCTCTCTAAATAATAACTCCTTCGAGTATAATTGTTTAGCTGAGACGGATGGTCCCCAAAATCAGACAGCTGACCCATGAAATATTCCAATTAAAAAGAGAAGGTAGACCTTTTCTATGTTGAACATCAGCCAAAACTCTACACAGGCTTAAAAATCTCCCAATGGATCTTCACAATCATCACCTCCTTGGTTTTAGAATAACAGAATAACAGATTTGAAAAGGAACCTGGAAGGAAGGAAGGAAGGAAGGAAGGAAGGAAGGAAGGAAGGAAGGAAGGAAGGAAGGAATAGCAGAATAACTGAGTAACAGAATTGGAAGGGACCTTGGAGGTCTTCTAGTCCAACCCCCTGCTCAGGCAGGAGACCCTATACCATTTCAGACAGGTGGCTGTCCAATCTCTTCTTAAAAACTTCCAGTGTTGGAGCATCCACAACTTCTGAAGGTAAGTTGTTCCACTGATTAATTGTTCTCACTGTCAGGAAATTTCTCCTTAGTTCCAGGTTGCTTCTCTCCATGATTAGTTTCCATCCGTTGCTTCTTGTCCTGCCTTCAGGTGCTTTGGGGAATAGCTTGACTCCCTCTTCTTTGTGGCAGCCCCTCAAATATTGGAACACTGCTATCATGTCACCCCTACTTCTTCTTTTCACCAGACTAGACATACGTAATTACTTCAACCATTCTTTGTAAGTTTTAGCCTCCAGTCCCCTAATCATCATTGTTGCTCTTCTCTGTATTCCTTCCAGAGTCTCAGTATCTTTTTTACATCGTGGTGACCAAAACTGGATGCCATATTCCAAGTGTGGTCTTATTAAGGCCTTATAAAGTGGTACTAACACTTCACGTGATCTCGATTCTATCCCTCTGTTAATGCAGCCTAGGAGTGGGTTGGCTTTTTTGGCAGCTGTAGCACACACGGCTGGCTCATGTTTAAGTGATTGTCCACTAAGGTTGAGAGTTTAGGCTCCCCTTAAACTCTGCTGAAGATGTTACCCAGCCTGGTAACGAAATGTTTGGAAACCAACCCAGAAGCTCAGAGAAGTAACTTTCACCCGCCAGCTACAGATATTCGCCACTATTGCAAACTCCAAGATCTTTAAGCTTTCTCAAGAGAATCTCTAAGAAAAAAAAACATCTGGGGAGAACATTTCCTATGAAATGTGTTTTTTTCAGATGGAGAAACAGCCAGAGTCAGAAAGGGTATGGAAGCCTGGAGGACCCAAGTAGCAAACTTGCCGCAAGTACAACCACATCAAAATCATCCTTTGACACAATGCAGCAGAACCAACAGCCATCAATGGAAATAAATAATAAAAAAAAGCTAGCACTCAAAGAAACTTCTGCAGCAACAGGCTGAGTCCTTTCTGTTTTTCAAATGATCAGGCAAGACCCTCCCATGTTCTTTAGCTGAGTGGGGAATCCATCTTACACTTTCCCTCTGGAAAAAAAAACCCCACAACTAATCTGAAGTGCTTTTTCCACTTGCCAGACAATGGAGCGAGTGGCTTTTGATGGAGGATGGAAGGGTTTCCCAGAAAGCACTGCTTCTCTTTATTGCTCCCTGCATCCGATATTTCTTGAGTTTCCATGACCTTATCTGCCCCTCTTGCAATGTCTATCAAGTGTAACCTCTCAGAGAACATAGCAAATTCAATTTTCTCCTTCCACATAGGAACCGAGCTTCAGAAAGCTTTACATTTTTCATCGGGTTCCAATTTTTTTTCTCCCCGCTGCTACATTTTCTGCCTCTGATGGGAGGAGAGCAAATCGATGCTTTTTTCTTGACTTCTGGAGTGAAGGATTTGAGGCACGTTGGTTTTCTTAAAAGAAAGATCTGTCTCATCTTCTCCAGAGAAGCAACGAGCAGAAACCAGCCAAAGGCCGTAGTGGCACAGTGGTTAGAATGCAGTACTGCAGGCTACTTCTGCTAGCGGTTCGATCCCGACCGGCTCAAAGTTGACTCAGCCTTCCATCTTTCCGAGGTTGGTAAAATAAGGACCCAGATTGTTGGGGGCAAATATTCTGACTCTATGAACCACTTAGAGAGGACTGTAAAGCATGGTGAAGTGGTATATAAGTCTAAGTGCTATTGCTATTGCTGTAGTTCATTGGATGTTGCATTATGAGCCGTGGTCAACTCTACAAGGAACCTGGCTTCAGCCATTTTGCTCGTTCTAGGTTGCCTTACTTGACTACTTGACTAGTCTAAAATGGGAGCCTTAGTTTAGACTACTTGACTAGTCTAAACATTTTACTGTCCCGTGGGAACCAAGGTCATTTCTGTCAGATGGGTTTGTGTGAGAGCATTTAGTTAGAAAGCCTGCCAAACTCGTCTATTGGCGAACGTAGCTGATTGCATAGCATTGGGGTGGGAAGTTCACCTTTGTAATATTGTTTCTCTCTTTGAAAGGAGTTTCAGACTTGATTTCACTTTTGACCGCACCGATATTCTATAACCAATAAACATCTTCTTTGAGGAAATCTCAAGCCTTGGAGTTCTGATTTGTTTGGTCTTGTTTATCAGAACCTTGACACTAAACTCTGCCGACTGTCAGAGAGTTCGATCCTGACCGGCTCAAGGTTGATTCGGCCTTCCATCCTCCCGAGGTTGGTAAAATGAGGACCCAGATTGTTTAGGGGCAAGATGCTGACTCTGTAAACCACTTAGAGAGGGCTGTGTTTTTTTTCCTGTGCTTCTTGGCCAGGATAGGCTAACATTTCAGATTCTCCTTGGCAGCTCACCCTGCCAACTGCCCATTAAAAGTTCCCTCTCTTCCCCACAGTTTAGAACCGTATTTAATAGTGTCGTTTCAGAGATCATTCTCATTCTTGGTGCTATTTCACTTGGTCCCTGGTGTTTTTCATCTTCTGAAAAGCCATTATGTCTAGATGGGAGACTGCCCCACCTCCTCCCCTCTTCCACAGGATATTAATCTGTTTTATTGGTATTCATTGGCAGCTCTGATGGAAATCTTTTGCACCCTGCATAATTTTCCT